TAAGTCAAATAACATATTAGAAGTTAAACATGTATGTATAAAGTCACTAAAGTAGTCTTACATGTGAGTTTTGTAAACATCTTAAGGGAAATTTAAAAATTACATCTATTTATTTATTTTTTAAAATTTATGTGTTTGGTACAAGGTCTCACTACACAGCTCGGACTCATAGTGACCCTCCTATTTTTAGCCTCCCCAGTGCTGGGATTACAGGCCTGCACCACCACACTGGTCTCAGTGGCCAGCTCAGTGTACCCGAGGGCAGGGCTGGCATAGCCTCTGGTGCCAGGGATGGTTTTTGTGTTTGCTTAAGCAGGCGCTTAGTGCACTGAGCTATCTTGCCAGCCCTAAACATATGTATATTTAACATAACTAAGAGTATTTTACAAAATTGTTTCTAGTAGTTTAAATGACCATTGCTAGTTATCAGATGCTAATAGATAACTATAATTTCAAGTAATTTTGAAATTAGAACTGCTTCCATATAAATATATTCCAAAATCTTAAGTAGAGACATAGTATATTCAACATGACAACATTTAGAGAAATGGTCAGTTAGTAGTAATCAAAACAGAGGGCCGACCAAATAGCTCAGCGTATTAAAGTGCCTGCAAGCAGGTGCAGGGGCCAGGGGTCCAATCCCTGGGCCTGCCATGCCGGCTCCACCCCCGGGGTGTGCTGAGACGGCAACTGAGACTGGGCGTGGTGGCGCGTGCCTGTAATCCCAGCACTTGGGAGGCTGTAAACAGGCGGATCACTATGAGTCTGATCTAGTAGTAAGACCCTGAACACCCTGTAGACCCTTCCCTAAAACACAAAATAATAATAATAATAATAATAGTAATCAAAACAGAAAACTTCTAATATGAAGAATACAAATCATCGGGCTGGGGAGACAGCTCAGTGGCATAAGTGCCTTCCCGGCAAGTATGAGGTCCTGAATTTGATCCCTGGTACCACAAAAACAGACAAACAAACAATTCATATGACTACTGTACACAATTACCAATTATCAGTATGATTAAATTATAGCTCTAAATAAAGTTGACTGAGCCCAAGTCCATGCTGCGAAAAATAAGACATGTAAAATTCAGATTTATTTGTAGAATTCCACGAAGTTTTCATTTATTAAAATTACTAATGTCTTACTGAAAACAGAAATTTGCTAAATCTTTTCTTATTGAATATTGTAGTATTTCACACCAGGTGTCATTTTTAATCTAATTGAACATCAATGAATGACTACATATTCCTATGCATTTTAAAAGCACACCTATTTACATGAACTAAAATCTAGTGGGGTGTGGTGTTGCGCACATGTAATCCCTGCTATTTAGGAGGCTGAGGCTGAAAGATGGTGAGTTCATGGCCAGCCTGGCCCAGTTAGCAAGCTCCTGTCTCAAAATAAGAAAAAGAAGAAAGGGAAAAGTGAGTTGGGAATATAGCTCAGCACTGGCATGCTTGCCTCAAGGCCCCAGATTCAATCCCCAGTATGGCAAAAAGCAAAACAAAACCCTAATGAAAATCAGTTTCAGAATCCACTCTTGCTGTCACCCTGGGTACTCAAGAGGCTAAGGCTCAAGTGTTGCAAGCTCAAGGCCATCTCAAGCAGCAAAACTAGAGCCTGCATCAAAACGAAATAGGAAAACAGCACGGATGTGTGTAGCTCAGCGAAATTACCCATCTGGAGGACTTGCCTAGCATATATGAGGTCCTGGGCTTAATCTCCAATACTGAAGGAAAAAAAAAAGCCACTTTTGTTTATAGAATGTACCCTGTTTAACAGTTGTCTGTGAACTATTATGGCCTTGATGAAGCAGGTAGAGTGGTAGGTCTGTGGGAATCTTGGGGATGAGGCAGCAGGAGGAGCGGGCCTCCCGGCCAGATCAGAAACATCGAAATTTATCTTGGTGTTACTTTAAAAATCCTCTAGAAGGCCTCTTCCAGGGGAGTCAGAGACAGGCTGTGAACACAGGCTGTGCCACGGAGATCAAAAGCGTGGAGCTGCAGGGAGTGTTTTACAAATCAGGAGACAATGGCACGGAACAGATGCATGTTGTGTCAAGGGTAGGCACAGCGTTGCACCTGAGCCTTGACCCCGATTGTCTTAATTCTCAGCTCAAATAATCTTAGTCTCTACTCATTTTAAATACCTTTAGTCTTCTATTAAAACAAGGGTGAGGTTGTTAATATTAAGAGAAAAGAAACACATACTAGAAGTGTGTGTATGTGTGTGTGTGCGTGTGTGTGTGTGTGTGTTTGTTGTGTTAGAGGCAGAACGCTTGGCCCTGTGTCATTTTTTTTTCCTTTGTATCCTAGTTACATGCATTAAAAAGAGCTGCATCCTTAAACTACCGTAAAGCCTTACAAGGACTCCTTACTTTTTAAAAAATACTACTGTTTGTGGAATTTTAGGCTTTGAGGATCTTCTGGTGATACATTCTAATATTTTTTAAAAATCTTTTTTTTTGAGTAGTGTGGATTCTGTGCTGCTCAGGCTGTACCAAGATCAGGACCGGAAGTCACTGGTGGGACAAATACCCGAGCAAATGTCAAGCTTTTCAGGAAACGCAATTCTACGGCAAGGAAGCTGAAGGAGCATAAAATGTCTTCCACGAAACTTACCACAATTTCAAAATAACTGAGTGATGCTCTGATGCCTTGTAATTGGGAAATCTGCCGTAGCAATGAAGAAGCGCAGAACTACCTCGGAAGGGGGACGTCTTTGGTTCGGCCTTGTCATCTTTCCTCAGCCATCTCCCTGACTACCAGGGTCTGAAAGCCCCTTGAGCCCAACTTTTTAAAATGGTTCATTATACTTAAACGAATCTCCTAAACATGATCTGCTAAAAAGGCTCGGTGCTTGGGGCAAGTTGGAACAATGACAGTAGTACTGCCAGACCTGAACAGAGACTAAAGACAGGCCCAGGCACCGAGGCTTCCAGGCCTCACGGAAGTCCAAATAATGTCCCGTCCACTGTGCTCGGAGCGTACGTGATGCTGGTGTGTTTGATGGTCTGCACAATTACAGTGGCACACACACACACACATGCACGCACGCACACGCACACCAGCAGTGGTCCAGTTTGCAGACTCTCAAGCACACGTGTTAGGGCAAATCTGGAGAAACCAAAAGAGGGGAGAAGTCATGCAGAGGAGTCTTTTTTTTTTTTTTTGGCAGGACTGGGGATTGAACTCAGGCCCTCGTGCTTGCCAGGGAAGCACTTATTCCACTGAGCCATCTCCCAGGCCCCCGCAGATGATTCTTTTGATAGGAAAAAGAGCACACAGAATTAATCACATGATTCAGCATGAGAATAGACTTTTCTCCTTTTTTTTTTTTTTTTTTTTTTTTTTTTTGTGGCTATCTTAGGGATTGAGCCCAAGTCCTCCTCAGTGTTCTACAGGGTCTGTCAATTGTCCAGGCTGGCCTTGAGCTTGTAATTCTTCTGCCTCAGCCTCCCAGACTGCTGAGATTATAGATATGCGTCAGTACTCAAGCTTGAATTAACTTCTTTCTGTGTCTGGGACTGGGGATCGGACTCGGGACCTTGTGCTTGCCGGGCAGGCACTTATGCCGCGGAGCTATCTCCTCAGCCCTTGAATTAATTCTTAAATGAAAGCAAAAATGAGGGAAGATGGCCATCAACCTCTGCCATTAACAGAAGGGTGATGCAGGCAAAATGGGTAAAGGAGGCGCTGGGTGCTGTCTCTCTTTCTCACTTTCTGCATGTGCGCTGAACTATGTCACACACAGATGTGCACCTACGTACGTACATGTACTTCAGAGCTGGAGCAGCCCAGGGAGTTTGGTAATAAGAATGCTTATTTGAAAACAAAAAAGCAGTATGAAAACTAACAAGAAAGTCTATGAAGTTGCCCTTTACCTTTTCTTCCTCGTTTTCCTTGCATTTGTGGTATTCTCCTTCTAAAAATGAACAAATAAACAAAACCAAAAAAAGTGCCAATTTGCAAAAGTACATTCACAACAGTAGCCTGAAAGGAAGACCGCAACAGCTTGCCTGCACACCAAGCATAGCTTGGACCCACACCAAGGATGCTAAAGAATCAAATAAGTTCACTTAAAGACCCTCAGGAAAGGGCCAGCCAGATAGCTCAGAGGACTAAAGCACCTGCTTAGGCAGAGCACAGTGGCCAGGGTTCAATCCCCGGCATGCCGTGCCGGCTCCACCTCTGGGGCATGCTGAGGCAGCGAATGAGATTGGCTGTGGTGGTGCACGCCTGTAATCCCTGTACTGGTGAAAACAGGAGAATCACTATGAGTCCGATCTACTTAGTGAGACCCACAGACACTGCCCTAAATTCATTTAAATTGTTTAGACACCAGGATTCCATAGCATATGGATGCTCCCACGATGTTTTGAGATAGTCTTGCTGTATAGTCCAGGCTGAACTCACAATGTAGCCCAGGCTTGTCTCAAACTCAAGGGTGGTCCTCCTGCCTCAGCCTCCCAAGTGCTGGGATTACGGGAGTGCACCACCTGACTCCCACAATCATGTTTATAAATGCCAGCAGACTTTTGGATATAAACAGTGTGTCATTGTTTTCTTAAACACTACACAGTGAACTCTGATTACCAGATACAAAGGGTTTTGGGAATGGTGTTTATTAGCAAAATTTGACAGGATCTGAGCATGCATGCCAGGCTGGGAGCAGAGCAGGGCTGGTGACGCACTCCTCAGTGCTTACTGACGGGCACATCCCCTTTCTGTGCCTTTTTCTGGACGGTGGTACACAGCCTCGTACCACGAGTTCACACGAGCGCCTTGTTAGCAAACCAAAGACGTGTTCAGCTGTTCTGCTTCACGTTTACATGTCCAGGACAAAAAAGCACCTGTTGTGGCAGTTCAGATTTTATAATTATATATTGTGTGCTGTGTGTGTGTGTGTGTGTGTGTGTGTGTGCTGTGGGGGGGATGGCTTACTTGGGAAAGTATTACAGCAGAATTCCTGTTTACTTATTGAGGTGTTTGCTTCATTTTTTTTGGAAAGAAACACAAAATGACATTAACTGAATGACAGTCTTGACCCGCTCCTGTAAGCACTTACATATTCAAGTTGACTCTGCTGTACTTGCTAGATTAAGGCTGCACACACCAGAGCACCGCGCTGCCAATGCTTGGAAGAAAGCGCTGGCGATGACACAGCACGCGCCCAAGGGGATGGAGATGATCCAGCCAGGAGAGAAAGAAACGGCGCCACCGCGGACTGGAGCCGGCCAGTGCGCAGCACTCTTGTCACGAGGATGTGGGTGCTTTCCATCTCCCCGCCATTTGCTATGTATGCATTTTGCATGGAATTTTCTCTAGCTAGCCTTAAAAATCGAATCCTCAGTGTCTCATGAAGTAGAGATGGTTGAGTCTGCCTAAGAATCAAGCTTTCAGCGTTCGCTTCCTATGCTAATACAAACACACACAACAAACTACAGGCATTGCCCAACTACTGGCATTGTCCTGGTTCCAATGAGAGTGAATTAAAATACAGGAACACACTGTAATTCCTGACACGAACAACGGCTAGTCTGGAGATCTGGTATTGCTTTAAGGTATTCTGGGGTCAGCTGAAGCAAGAGGACACATGGAAATCTCTTCATACATCACATTATGAGCCCACAAATTCTCAACATGAGTTGTTGAAGAAGGATCTTCTGGGATGATATTGAAAATGTTCTCTCCGTATGTGCTGTTTCAGGCCTTACAACATTTAAAGAAAATGTTCTAAAAGATAAAGTTGGCATGTAAAAAGGGCAGGGAAAGGAATCCGCAATGATCTGAGCAAGACAGTTGTAGAAGGCATCTTAATTTTCATATGGCTCATTTGCATTTGAAACACTGAATTCCTATCTTGCTTGTACAAAAATATGTACATATTAAGTTACTTCACACTTGAAAGAACATTTTCCTAAATGTTTGGAAAATGATCAAATTTTAACTGGAGGACTTGTTTTCTTCCATCAGGTGTGGGGGAGATGTGGCTTCCCGGTAGGAGAGGCAACAGTTGATTCTAATAGCAGGACAAGACAAAAATAAGAAAACAATTCTTATAGGTTCAGTTTGAATTAAAGATGGCAACACAAAAAGGATACACAGTACAAAGATGTTAGCATCAATTTAAAAATTATGCTTGGTTCCCTTTCCAAAAATTGTGCTCCTCTGATGGTTCTATAAGTTATTATAAGGTTCTTGTGCATATACTATTGTTTATTTCAATATACCTATTTGTAGGTATCTAATCAATAACTGAAAGACAGATTTCTACCAGCTATTAAACAATAATTCCAGGAGTCAATATTCTACCCATCTCTCTCTCTCTCTCTCTCTCTCTCTCTCTCTCTCTCTCTCTCTCTCTGTACTGGGGATTGAACTCAGAACCTTGCACTTGCCAGGCAAGTGGTTATGCCACTGAGGTACCTCCCTGGCTCACTCATCTCAGGATTTTATAAAATCTTTTGTTCCTTTATTTATTTGATACAGGGTCTTGCTATGCAGTGCTGGGATTACAGGTACGCGCCACCATGCCTGACTTCAGGGGTCAGCATGGCATGCCTGGGGTTCCAGGGCCAGCTCAGTATGTGGTACCAGGGGTTGATCTCTGGACCTTGCCATTGCCGGGCAGGTGCCTAGACCACCAGTTATCTCCCCAGCCCTCATCTCAGGCTTTTAAAAGCGGAGATAGCTGTGGACCAGCAAAGGCTTCAGGTTTCTTCACTGTCACATAGACACTCTTTAATCTTAGGAAGCTGGTGATCACACTCAGACCAAGAAGCTGGGAGCTCGGGAGAGATCTGGACTCGAAAGTAAAACCACATCTTTGTGTAACTCTCAGTTTCCTGATATGGTAAAATTTCTAGGAATGTCCTCAGAAAGAAAAGTAAAGACTTTTCTGAGAGGTATCTTTGTCCTTCTCTTGGCCTTGACCTCTCGGGGACTTCTCTGGCAGAGGGCGCTGGCTGAGTGTGGCGTTTGGATGTGGTGTCATGCACCCTCCCTGGCAAATAGGCAGGCTGCATTCCCTGGGGACAGAGAGCGCGACAGCGCCTTTGTAAGTGAGATTATGGGTGCATGCTGCTCCTGAGTCTCTTCCTTCTGCGCTCCCTGGGGCGTTGGGAGGCCTTGTCCTGGGTGGCACTGCTGTGCTCCGGACCTCAAAGGGAGAGCGGAGAGCAGCTTCTTCAGTCTCCTCAAGGACAGGGCCATGGCAGATCCCCAAGGAGAAAATGAATCAGAGGGACCAAGGGGCAGGCTGGGGGGTGACACGCTTGTCCCTCCCAGGCCAGTTGCAGAGAACAAGTGGGATGGTCTTAAGGGGGCAAAGATCTTGTACATACAATTCATGCTGTATCTTCAGATTGTTGCTACAGAGTTACAGAAATAAGTCCTAAGCACCTTAAGTAGACGCGGCACTGGGATTGACTTCCAAAAGATTAAAAGTGAAGGGTAAAATGGTCTGTGTAGTAATACTTGTGATTTGCGGAGATTCCCAAGACACCAAATAATTGAACATTTCATTTTATGGATTTAGTTGGATCTTTGTCCCGAACAAATTGCTAGTTTAATCATTAAACTAATGATTCTTTTACTTTTTTTTCCTCCTGTACAAAGATGTACTAATGAGAAGCTACATGACTAAAACTTAGATCAAAGGTGGAAGATTAAGGAGAGTCAGTCTATGGCAAATTGAACATTACCCTCTTGATTTATTAATATACACTGTTCACCTATTTACATACTTGAATACCATTTATTAAGTGCCTTCTATAAGGCAGATATTGGTTTTGGTTCTGGGAGTTTAAAAAGTGAGGGGAAACCAAAAGAAGACGAACCTATTTCCATAAAGTTCATGGGGGCACTTCAGTTTTCTGAAAGCAAGTGGGCAGTCGCCTAAGAACTGTAGAACTGATGCCTGTCACAACAGTCCCTTCTTTCTTCCACAATATTGGCCCATTTTCATAAGTGCCTGCCTGGCAAGCATAAGTTCCTGAGCTCGATCTCTGGTATTAATAAAAAAAAATATTGGCTTATTTGAAGAGAAGATCTGGTTCCCAAGTAACTGATTTTCTCTGTTGTGTCTGGCAGAGCCTTTTGTTTTGTGGTACCAGGGACTGAACTCAGGGCCTTGTGCACACGAGCCTGGTACTCCACCACTGAGCTACACCCCCAGCTTGCTCTTAGTTCTGAGGAAAAGCTCCGGAGAGGCGAAGTGAGCCGTCAGCATGTGTGAAAGAGGAGTCGTGCAGCTAGCAACTACAGAAAGGAACTGCGATCATGCTGGTAAAGGGTCCTGCTATAATGAGCGTTTCTCCTCCAGGAAGTTACGGATCATTTTGATTCAATGTGCAGACCGGGTGCAGTGGCGCACACCTGGACTCTAGCTACTCCAGAGGCTGAGGCAGGAGGATCACTTGGACTCAGGAACTGCAAAGCAGCCTGGGCAATGGGGCGAGTCCTTGCCTCAAAAAAAAAAAAAAAATTGTGGAATAAGATTTCTGTAGTTCTAGGTTTTATGACATCAATCACCAATATTTATTAATATTTATTAAGATAAATAAATGCACCTAAACCAGAAAAGGTGTTGGTGTCTCCCTAGTCACTCTGAAAGTCAGAAAACTACAAAAAAGTATATGGTGCTCTAACTTTCAAACTGAAGTACCTGCTGACGCCTTCGGCTTTTCCCTTCATTGCGTGCTTTTCTTTTCACTTGATCCTCTCGAAAAGAATTGAAGTAGGGGCTGTCCAGGAGCTGAGCGCAGGTGAACCTGTCGTCCGGGTTCATCTTCAGACACCCCTTGGAAGAAGAGAAAAGCAAGGCACATGAAGCGAAAGGGCTTACCCTGTTACTGTGCCCGAACTTCCAGAAAATAACCTGGTAGGGCAACTAGGAGCTTAAAAACTCAAGTGCATCTCTGATCGGAGCTCACTGCTGCCTTGTCCACCACATCAGTCCCTTGTGTGTGGCTGTGTGGATGCTCCCTGTCCCCGAAGGGTCACCTGAGTATCGGGTGACTTCCATCACAACTGATAGCAAACCATAAGCAGGAGTCCTTAGAGTGTTGTCCCAGGACCAGCAGTCCTGGTACATCCGGGTTTCCTGTGTGCTGGCCCTCAAGTGCGAGTTTCAGCTTCCTAGCCGACACCTGAGTGCTCAACCAGGCGCAAGGGGACTGCGCCCAGCCACTCGCGCTTCCCAAGCCCTGGGGTGGTGGTGAGTGCCTCATGCTGCTGCGGCTGGGGACCCCTGTGTGAGGCGATGCTGAGGAAATGGGAACCTCGGCTATGAGAAAGAATCCAACATGGAGAGAAGGGGGACGCATTTTCATCGACAAGCAGTACCTAGACGCAAAGAAGATGTGCTGTCACGACCCTTTAAACTCGAGGTGGTCAGAAGAAGACTTTAAGGTCTATCTGTGGGAAGGGAGTACAGTGACACAGAGGGGCTGGAGGCAGTCCCGACACAGAGAGGTTTCTCCAAGAAGCCCTGATACTCTGGCCAGACAGTGCAAACTTTTCTCAAGGGGAACCGACAAATGGCAATCCAGAAAGAACTGATGAGGTTGTGCCGTGAAACACAGCAGTAAGTGACCTGAAGTCTCTTGCCTGTGTCTGGTAAGAAACATGGTCCTCTGGCACCAGAGACTTTGTCCTGAGGAATTCAGGTGTGTAGATAACCACACTGCCTGAGGCCACCCCAGCTCAGGGGCTGCTCCTTACCCCAGCATACGCCAGTCACTGAGATTCCAGAAAATGTGAAGCATGTCTCCTACCCCCTGGGGCAATACCTGATTAGTCCCGCTCCTCCAGAACAGTCCTGCTTAGCATAACCACTTACCTGAGCCCTCACGGCTACACTCTGTTCAAGCAGATCGCCCCCTAATTAACCATGCTCCAGGGATCAAGTCCAGCTGCTACCTGGAGGCAGTCTCCTCAAACCTCCACGCTGTCAGGACAGGCTGTTTTTGTTTGATTGGCTTTTAGGGACAGGGTCTCACTATGTAATTCAGGCTGGCCTTGAACCCCTAACAATCCTCCTCTCTCAGCCTCTCGAATGCTGGGCTTACAGCTGTGTGTTACCCCATGATTCAGGAAGACTATTCTGAATATAAACTGTGGTATACTCTGCTTATCACTTCCTGGCTTTTGACTTCACCATTCCATGTAAGTGATTCTAGTTAACAATGCCTAGGAAGTCCACGCTAGCATTAACTCAATAGGTGTGTTGAGTTCTGGTCTGAGAGGTAGTAGACACTATTGCGGGGGTGGGGGGCGGGGGGCTCCTTCTTGAACATTCTCTTTGTCTTCTCTGTTGTCTCACTTTGCTTTCTCCTGCCTTCTGACCACTCTTTTCACACCAGCCTTTGCTAGTTTATGATCTCCACAATGACTGCACGGAATTCCTCCAGGTTCAATCCCAGCTGTCCTTGGCTTCTTCTGTTCTCTTGGGTGCCCACGGAGTCAACCATCAGGGACTGCCAGGATTTCCCCCATCTACAGATTTACTTCCACCCATCACTGAGATCCAGACCTGTATATAGAAATGCCTCTTTACTGGCTCTTCTTAAGTCGTGAGGGAGTGGTTATGGGTTGGGCTGTGTCTTGCACTGAACGTGTAACTCTCAGTGCTGCAGAATGGACCTTACTTGAAAATAAGATCTGTGCGAGTTAAGCTGAGGTTAATGAAATTAATTAAAATGAGGTCATAATGGAGTAGGGCAGCCCCTCTGACTCAGTCAGGACTGATGTTCCGTAAGAACATAGACATCGTCAGCACAGACCCACAGAGAATGCCACCCAAGGACAGAGGTGGTGGGGAGGGCCAGTGATGCCATTACCAGCCGCAGAACATGTGGGACTCGCAGGAGCTAGAAGAGGCAAGTAAACATCCTTGCCACCATCTTCAGAGAAAGCAGGGACCCACCGCCAGCCACTGCTCCACTTTACCTCCCCACAGAAACATCACAATTCAACCCTGTCAGTTTTTCTTTCAAATGTATCTTGAAGTCATTCACAGTCCTCTGTGGGCTTTCAGTCTATCAAAATCTAGTCTATCATTGAATGTCTATGAGGTTTTTTTTTTTTTTTTTTAGAAAATGAACACACTGTTCTTTACCTTCAAAGTGAGTTCCCAATATATCTACGCCAAGTTTTTTTTTTTTTTTTTTTTTTTTAATTTCAAAGAGCATCTTTAGCTCAGAGGCTGCTATGGTTGAGCTGCTTTGGGAGCTAGCCTAGAACAACTTTCCTCTTGATTAGTTTTGGGACCGCGGACATGGACTGGGTGGAGTGGGTGTTCCGGAGTCTGCCTTGCCTGGATTAACAGTTTTCTATAACTAAGAAGTGGATGCCTTCTCAGAGGTGCCCTTGGACGCACTTGCAATCTGGGCAAGGCCCTGTAGAGGGGATGTCAGAAACTGGAACTGCAAAATCCAAAACAGGATCCTTCTCTCAATCAAAGAAAACCAGTTGATCCTTTTTAAATTTGGCAGAAAGCCCTCCAGGACCTCTTTGGATTATCTACTGTCTTATTCTGGTGTGATAAGACTGAAGTGGTCATGTGGCAAGATGGGGACAAAGAAATAATGGAGACAGTGCTCATGGTCTTGTTTTAAACCCAGTGAAAGGAACGCAAAGGCCCTGAGCATAGATTGGCTGCTGCCCACCACTACCACCACCACCACCACCACCACCACCACCACCACCACCACCATCAGCACTGTCACTGGCCCACACTACACCTGCACAGGTTATGACCTAGTCCCATGTGCTAACTACCTGCTATGGTAGCCGAAATTTATTTGGCATTATATATGGCTTACTCTTCTTTTTTATCTGGCCTGGGCAGGAATCTAGGAAGACAGGTCAGGGCCTTGGAATAGTGGAGTCCTTGATCACGTGGAAAAGTCTCAACTCCATGGCCTGTACTTATGGGTCTAAGGAAAGAGTGGAGTAGCAAGTCCAGTTTCATCTAGAATCTTGGGCCATCAGGGTGCGTAACCTTTGGGGAGGAAGACGGCACCTGTCCTGCACCTTGGAGTGTCTCACACTGCAGTTACCTTCAGGGGGTTTTCAGGATCCTCAGGCTTCCACCTGAGAATGGGCAGGTCTTGCAGCGCCTGGCCCTTTTTCTCTGGAGGGGGGAACTAAATTGCTGGTGGGTCAGAAGCGTGCATCAAGAGCCAAGGCAGGAAGGTAGGAGCTTGATACGCTGAGCGAAGCCGGCTATGAACATTAAGGAAGGGTCCCTAGTGGCTGAGGTCGGGTGGGGCAGTGGTGAGGGCACCAGGGACAGCAGTCTGCCGGCACAGAGCTTCCAGGCTCTGAATCTCAGTAGGACTCCCCAGCTGAAGCAATCTAGCACCCGGGATAGCACCACGGCACGGACCCACAACTAGGACCAATGCTGGTCTACACAGGTGACTCTGGGTCATCCAAATGGCCCCATTGCTTAAGCAGATGAGTCTCAAACTGACTCCGTAGTCATCTGGGGGATGCCTGCATACCAACTCTAGGGTCCTGCCCGTAAGCATTCTTCTACAAATCTAAGGTGAGGCACTGGGATCTATATCTGTATTTTTCAAAAGCCCCCAGGTCATTCTGATGAGCATGCACATCTGGAAATCACAGCTATGTGTGGAAATTAATTGACACCTTCTCTGGAGTCCTCATATCCATCCCGCAGGGGCCTTCTGGCATCCACCGCGGGTGGAAGGGTCACAATTTCTTGTGTGGCTTGTTTGTCAAGCATGGATTGCTAAGTTTCTTCTGGCTCTATTAAAGTATGACCTTTACTTGCCTCTGTGTCTTTGAGCCTAGTGTATGAGGTAGGTTTGGTGTCTGCATAACTCTGACGTGGCCGGCTCTTCTGGTGGATGTGTCCCAACAGTTATGCTTAAACTTGCCTTAGCTGTAATTATTTTATCGTTCCTTGTCATTTGTAGTAACTACTGTGGCATTATTTGCCCCACTGTCGACCCCTCCCAGGACAACCAGTTTCAGTCATTGCAATTTGCATGTGATAATAGTTATGCTAAGTCCTTAAGTACCTTCATGAAATTCAGAGCCTCGGGGTGAGCATCTGAGAACTTTTCCTCAAGAGTTTCCTAGAAAACAGAATAGTCATGTTTTATAACAAAGAAATCCATTTTGTACATGCTGACCACAACACTGGACAAACACTCTTCAGTAGTTAGAGAATTCCTTCTAAAGCTTGTTAAAAATCAAGTTTTTATTACAGTTGAATATACTATAGTGTAAGTGTCTAAGAGACATAAAACTGGAGTTATTTTCTTAATTTCAAGGTGTCTTGGCTGGTGAGATAGCTCGGCAGTTTAAGCTCTAAGTGCCTGCCTGGCAAGTGCAAGGACCAAGGTTTGATCCCTGGTACTGCGTGCTGCACTGGCCCCAGAAGTGGGTGTAGTGGTGCATACCTGTAATCTCAGTGCTAGGGAGGCTGAGGCAGGAGAATCACTCTGAGTCAGAATTGCATAGTGAGACCCTGTACCAGATAAATAAATGAATGAATAAATAAAATATGTCTTGCAATGCATGCTGGTGGTTCTGGGTGAGAACAGGATGGGGAAGCTTTGGACAAACCTCTCTGAGGTCCTACTACAGTACTCTATGATATTTGTGCCTGATCTATTTACACAAGTGCCACCTAAAGTGACATCATTTCACTAGTGCCTGATTTATAAAGTTATAAAACAAAGTTTTAAAAATTGATTTGAGATTTGTTTCTTAAGCTGAAAAACAAGATAATGTCTATCTTCAGAATAAAGTAGATGGGGGCCAGGGAGATGGCTCAGTAGAATAAGCGCTTGTGTGGCAAGCGCAAGGGCCTGAGTTCAATCCCTGGTTCTGCCAAAGAAAAAAATAAATAAACATAAAAAAATAAAGTAGATGAGTATAAATATGTAAAATGATTGTTTCAGGGAAAGGTTACCTTAGTGCTTTGGCCAAAAGGATCAAGGTGTACTTAAGACAGTAAATATACTTTCAATGTTAAAAGCAAAACAAAACAAAAAAAAAAACCCACCACTTTTCTTTTTTTGAGATAGGATCTCTCTATGTAATTCAGGTTGGTCTTGAACTCACAGTATAGCCCAGGTTGGCCTCAAACTGGTGGCGATTTTCCTGCCTCAGCCTCCTGAGTCCTGGGATTACAGGTGTGCACCACCATGCCTGGCTTCATATTTTCAATTTTAATTTAACATCAACCTTTGAATAGACAGGACAGGTAAACCTTTAAATCAGGGTCTGGGTGGCTTTTTGAATTTTTTCCTCACTGTGCATCCCAGGTTGGTCTTAAACTCGTTGGTTCAACTGAACGCCTTTCCTCAGCCTGTTAAGCAGCTGGGACTATCTGATTTTCCTGTGCTGGTCTTACACATTTTCAGTATCATTTCTTTGATCCGAAGATCACGGGGGCCAGGGAGATGGCTTAGTAGAATAAGCACTTGTCTGGCAAGCGCGAGGGCCTGAGTTCAATCCCCGGTTCCGCCAAAAAAAAAAAAAAAAAGAATCAAAGATCAAAGAAACGGAAAACAGATACCAAAAGCACAACTAAAAATAAACAGGGCCGGGGAGATAGCAATAAAAGTGGCAGCCCAGCAAGCATAAGGTTCTGAGTTTGATTCCCACTGCCACACACACAAGAGGTATTTCATCAAAGGAAACAACTACCTGTTTAAAGAAAGTAGCAAATAATAAGATGCCCCAAATCAGAGTAGCTCACCATGACTTCAGGTTCAGGTATGCTGATGCCGTGGAAAAACTGGTTACTTTTAAAGATAGACTGATGTCTTGGGATTAGTTTTCCTGTGAAATACAAGCCACGTAATTCATGACAAATTTGGTAGAAAGTGTCTCAGTGGTTAGCTGCCAAGGCGCAGACCCGCAGGGAACACGCCTTGCTGGTGAGGCGGAAGGGTCCCTAGCAGTCTTGTCTGCTCAGGTAAGGCCGGCCGACTTTCCCATATGATGCTCTTTTGCTACAGTGGGTTTTGTTAGCCATTTGGCTTCTATGGAAAGTCAAGGTGAGAAAATTCTGAGGGCCTCACACACACAAACTCATTTACTCTCACAAAAGACTGCTGTTTTTAATCTCTGCTCTATCAGGGAAGAAAAAGGCTTCGAGTGGCCTAGAAGCTTGGTGACATGGCCATGAAGTGACAGAGACAGGGTGCAAGCTCAGGCCCGGGCATTGTCTGTCTAATGTATTTAGGAAATAAAAACTACACACTTAGGGTACAGTGGAAGTGATACCCCCGCCCCATGCTTTCATGGTGCAGAATTTTCTAGAAAATGCTGGAATCCGTGGGGAACTGAGCGGAGGAATTAATGCGCAGCCATCCTTTGTGTGAAGTACCACTTCTTTCGGTCGGGCTGCTGGAGTGAAGCTGCAGCTAACACTTGGGTCCTGTTCTCCCGTGACCAGGGGAAGCAGACAACCCCCTAGGGTGCTGCCACACACGGAAGCTCGCCAAAGCAGGCTCCGAGCTCCATGCCCTCTACGCTGAACCGGATGCTTAACTTTGGGCCAGCTGTGGAGCTGTCTGCCCCTCACTTTTTCTCATTTATAAAACAGGTGCTATTAAAATGCTATAACTTCCTCAACAAGTTTTTAAGCTTGAAAAAGATAATGTGTATGAAAGCAATTTGCAAATTCCTCCGTACCATTCAAGTAATGCATGTTAACATTTTAAGTTGTAGAAGCTACTTTTGCAGGGAGGAGGGGGGAGACTCTTAAGCTCTAGGACAGGGGTTTGCAAACTAGGGGCCTCCAGCCACGCTGACCCCGTGCCTATTTTGGTACAGCCTGAGGCCTGAGAATGGCTTTTACCTTTTCAAGTGGATTAAAAGAAGTCAAAGTAATATTCTGTGCCATGTAAAACCATAAAGGTTCACGGGCACATTGTGCACGGCTGCTTTCATGCTCCAAGAGCAGAGTGGAGGCGCTGCGGTCAAGACCGTACAGCCTACAAGACCTAAAACACTTAGCATCTGGCCTTTGGCAGGGAACAGCTGCTGACCCCTGCTCCAGAGAACACGGGGAGCCTCTTTTCCAGTGGATGGAACTCGCACTGATCCAGTGTCTCCCAGCTTAGACTCGAGGCAGCTGACTCGTATCTATTTCATTCCATTCTGAAGGCAAACACATAGTTTGCTCCATGGCTACCTGACTTCCTTGGACTGGCATCTGAACAGTTGCTAATAAGAATTACAGTTCTGGGGTTGGTGAGATGGCTCAGTGGTCTAAAGCACCTACTTAGAACAAGCTTAGCAAAGGACAGGGACCGCGGTTCAATCCCCCAGCACCACATGCCAGCCAGCCCCGCCCCCTGGTGGGCTGAGCTGGACACACACACACACACACACACACACACACACACATAAATAAATAAAATTTAGAAAAAAAAAAGAATTACAGTTCCTACACTGAGGACGGACTGGGCTTTGGCTACAACACAGACCCTACCACCTTTCTGCATAGAACTCTGGAGAAACACAAAAGCTCTTGCTTTCTGTACAGTAACACACTATTATTCTAATATGTCAGCCACTCTGTGAACTGTAAAATGCAATTCATACCCAGTGTTCTGATTATCAGATAAAGTTGGTCCACATCTGATTTTCCTGGCCAGAGTGGCTGGCCTGTCAGAAGTTCAGCAAAAACGCAGCCAGTTGCCCAGACGTCCACTGAAGAGCCGTACTGTGTGTCTCCCACAAGAAGCTCAGGGGCTCGGTACCACCTGGTGGCCACATAATCGGTGTAGGCATCTCCTGGAACTGCAAAGGCATCATCAGGCGGGTCAGCGAGTCCCCATCTCCCGGGCTGTGAACTGTGACCAGCTCCAGAGAGCAGATCAGGCTTTCCGACAGGTCTCTCGTTCCAGGAGGCACTGTCTGCTGACAGCTGAAGCAAGGCCCTACGGGTCATACACTGAGCTTGCTCCCGGCAGGCTCTGAGACAATAAACTCAACCTTCACCAGCACTCTAACTAGTACCTGTATCATCCCAAGAGGGCAAAATAAAAAATTCTGTACTGTAACCTCAAGTCTCAACCGACTAGTGCTCATTCCTCCATTATTACCAGCATGGTGCTTATTGTGGGTTAAATTGTGTCTCCCCTAAAAGACAAGTTGGGGCTGGGGAGATGGCTCAGTGGAATAAATGCTTTCCTGGCAAGTGCAAGGGCCTGAGTTCAATCCCCAGTTCTGCCAAAAACCAAAAACCAAAACCAAAACAAAACAAAACAAAAATAAAAGACAAGTTGGAAGTCCCGACTTGTGGTACTTGTAGAAGTGTCCTTATTTGCAAATAGGAAGAGGGCATAAAAAGAATTAAGATGTTACCTACACACACCAGCTCCCTATGAGAAATGTAGTCATTACCTACTGCAAACGTACACTAACACAATTTTTTAAAGAAGGAAATAGGGTCTCTGTAGCTGTTATGGATTTATAACAAGGTCATAAATTCAGGGCAGGTCATAAATTCAGTGCCTAGTGTCCTTACAAGAACCATGTAGGGACACAGTGACTCAACAGGGAGAACAGGTGGGTCAGAGGCAGATCCGCGAGTGAAGCATTTGCAAGGCCAGGTACACCATGACTGTCAGGAGGAGGTGGCTTGGGAGGACCCCTGGAGATGGCAGGAAGAGCACGGTCTTCCTAACACCTTTATTTTGATTTCTGGCCTCTACAACTATGAGAGAGCAAACTTCTGTTGCTTCAAGCCACAAGGATTCTGACACTTTATTATGGCAGCCTAGGAAACCAAGGCAGTGCTGGCCAACTGTGTGCACCTCACTTTTCTATCCAAATTTGTTCTGTATGGCCCATTGTGACAAAGCTCTTAGTTTGACTGCTTGTATTGTGAGTCGCATGTAGTGTGAACAGGCAGGTGGCAGAGAGCTAGGTGCAGTGTTATGGGCCGGCCCCACCCCACTGGCCCGGGGTAGACTACCTGAGGCACCTGCCTCCCACGGGTGTGTGTGTGTGTGTGTGTGTGTGTGTGTGTGTGTAAGCAATCCACAGCTGCCACAAGACCCAGAAGGTTTGGGAGCCCCAGTTTTCTTCTTTGAGGCTGAAGGCAGGTAGATAAGAAGAGCCCTCAGGCTTTTAACGGGCAAGAGTCTCATTTGAGTCCGTGGAAATCTACACATGCATGGAGGAAGAACCTGGGAAGCTGGCTCGTCCTACAGAGGTGAGGTCTGGGGCCATGCTCGTCAGGAGGGCCTTAGGCAGCCAGCCTGCGACTGCCTGAAGGAAGCTCAGAACCCAGGGCCTGCGGCTCTGCGTACAGAATGGTACTTGCAGTAGGAAAAGAATACTTACTGCTCTTTCATAAGATTATAGGCTGTTAATTTTAGTTATAAAACATGCTGACTTCTTTAAATGATAGAAATTAAGTACTACTTAGGAGACTTGGAAATGGAGAATAAGAAAGAAAATAATAATTACTGACAATTCTAACTGCTCATAGGTTATACTACCTGTTAGACATTTGGGGAACATTTTCTAAAAGCCATATATAGTCATTGTAGACAATGGAATACCCAGAAAAAAAGAAAAATAAAGTCAAATTTTACCACTCAAATATACTATGTATTAATGTTTTGATGTATTTCATATAAATCTTATTCTTTTCCTGTTTTTATTTTTTTATTAGTATATGCTTGCATTACATTCCTTGTGGGGATATGGTACATGTGACATATCTCAAGTAGTTTTTTTTTTTAATGTATTTGGTATGGTGTCTCACTATACAGCTGGGACGAGCCTCCTGTTTTCAGCCTCCCCTGCACTGGGATTACAGGTGTGCACCACCATTCCTGGTCTCGGTGGACGCTCAGCGAACCTGGGGGCGGGGCCGTTGGGGCATGTGGGGGTCCCTGTGCTTGTCTAAGCAGGCACTTAGTCCACTGAGCCATCTTTCTGGCCCTCAATTACTTTTTGAGTACTTTTGACTATTATCTACCTACCTATCTTACATAATTTTGTCTATTCTATATATTTGCCACATTATGATAAACTTGGGTTTAACAGCTGCCTGACAGTTTACTAAGTGTATAGGTCATGATTTACTTTTATCTTTCCCAAATTTTCTCTTTTTTTCTTTCTTTCTTTTTTTTTTTTGTACTTGAGGGAAGGGTCTACAGGGTGTTCAGGATCTCACTACTAGATCAGATTTGTAGTAATCCGCCTGTTTACAGCCTTCCAAGAGCTGGGATTACAGGCGCCCGCCAGCACACCCAGTCTCACCGGCAGTCTCAGCACACCCTGGGGAGGGGGCTGCCAATTCCCAAATTTTCTGATTCTCTGTCATTATAAACATCACCAAAGCTCTGTGCAAGACTCTTTCTGTATTTAGGATTATTTCTTTAGAATGTATTCGATGATGGAATTACTAAATCAAGAGGCATGAACATATTTATGAAATTATAAAAATAATTCATTTTGACTGCAGAAAACTTGAAAAATACAAAAAGTGTAAAAAAGTCTCCCTCTACTCAGAGAGAATCTGGAGTAACGTTTGGTGAATTTCTCTTCTCTCTGGTATTAATATTGCACCCCTAAAGTCTCATATGATTGAGACCGTTATGGCTTGTCACTGGACGCGCCCCGCCACAGCTTCAAGCGGTCACGGGGATGGGCTTTCTGGAGGTGGCTAAATCTAGGGCTTGTCCAGTGCTGGGACTGGCCACATGAGCGCCGCTCCCGCCCTAGGGCAGGTAGCCGCCACAGGACGGAGGGAAAGAGGCTTGCTCCTCCCTTTTGCTTATTTGCTCTTTTTTGCTGTCTTCTGCCATCATGAATGGTAACCCCTCTACCATGCCACCTTGCCTTCGAGCCAGAACTATGAGCTACACAAAGCTTTTCTTCCTTAACTTTGGTTGTCAAGATATTTTGTCTCAGCAATGATAGAAAAGAAACAAAGATAGGGACCAATCTCTCTGGGTACAATTCTGTCTTCTTTTTAACTTAGCCCCACATTGTGTGAGTTGAAGCATTTTCTTGAATCAGTAGGATTCTTTAAAAATACATCATTTAAAATGTAGCATTGGGCTGGGGACATAGCTCAGTGGCACAGCACCTGTCTGACAAGTGTGAGGTCCTGAGTTTGATGCCCAGTTAAAAAAAAAAAAAAAAAAAGTAGTATTAAGTGAGATAAGTTCTTTAGCCACTTTCTTATTGATAGAACCTTAAGTCTCCTTAAATTCTTCTTGGTTAGTTTTACAATGAATATTATGTTATATTGGGTCAGCAGGTGATATCTCCAGGATAAGAGAGATTCCTAAGAGTGGAATTAAGATTCCAATGGCAATATTTGTTTTGGTTTTTCTTTTTTTAAAGCAACAGAATAGTAACTTTTTTATTTTTATTTTTATTTTTTTTTACATTTATTCATTTGTGTATGTGTGTGTATGTGTGTGGCCAGCTCAGCCCACCCCAGCCCCTGCCAAGGCGGGGCTGGCTGGCATGTGGTGCTGGGGGATCGAACCGCGGTCCCTGTGCTTTGCTAGCTTGCTCTAAGTAGGTGCTTTAGACCACTGAGCCATCTCCCCAGCCCTGGTTTTTCTTTTTTTAATTTTATTTGTGTGTGTGTGGGGGGCAGCTCAGCCCACCAGGGGGCAGGGCTGGCTGGCATGTGGTGCTGGGGGATTGAACCGCGGTCCCTGTGCTTTGCTAGCTTGCTCTAAGTAGGTGCTTTAGACCACTGAGCCATCTCACCAGCCCCTTGTTTTGGTTTTTTGAGGCACGGTCTTGCTATGCAGTTCAGGTTGAGCCTGAAGTCACTTTGTAGTTGGGGCTGGCCTTGAACTCACAGCAATTCCCTTTCCTTAGCCTCCAGAGTTCTGGGACTACAGGCACGTGCCACCATGCCCAGCTCAAACGACGCTCTGAAAAGTTTTTGGTACACAGTGAAAGGTAGTATTTCAAGGTGCATTTCTTTGATATCAGTGTGGAGAAAAATTATTTCACATTTATCAGCCTTTTTTTCCTTTTGCGAATTGTCTGTTACTACCTTGTTAATTTTTCTACTCAGAACTTTAGTATTTTATTAATTTATATAAGCTCTTTTATATTAATTTATTAACAACCTTGAAATGTTTTTTCCTTTGATTTCTTGCTTTGAAAATGTTAGCCTATGAGGCCAGGCTGCTCCAGGGGCTTCTTGTACCCTTATCTGCCCAAGAGCAACCAGGTTAAATACAGCCCATGCACAAAGCCACAGGCTGAAGCCCGTGGGACTGTTTTTTAAAATAATTTAACCATTTTCATAGTTAGTTCCTGAGGGTGTACAGAGTGCCCACTTGCCTTCTCCAGCTTCTCTTTGCTGTTGGTGGTTTCCACGTCACTCTGCATTGCAACCTTGCACCCCAGTCTTTGCCCTTGTCTAGCTGCCTCATCCCAGCACTGAGGTCTCCCCCTATTGCCCAGGCGTGCATTTGCAAGGGGGAGCCTGCATATAGGTACAGGGGCCAGGAGTTCGATCCCTGGGCCTGCCGTGCTGGCCCCACCCTGGGGCGGGCTGAGATGGCGACTGAGACCGGGCATGGTGGCACACACGCTTGTAACCCCAGCATTTGGGGGGCTGAAAACAGGAGAATCACTACGAGTCTGATCTACATAGTGAGACCCGGAACATCCTGTAGACCCTTCCCTAAAATACAAAAATAAATAAATAAATAAATGAATAAATGAACAACAATGACCCAGGCCAGCACTATAACAGCTTGTGCTATAACCAGAGCCTCAGCTCATATAGTGGGGAGATTTTATTTTTTTAAATTTATTTTACTTTATTTTTCTAGTACTAGAATCTAACTCATAACCTCATGCTTGCCAGGCAGGTGCTGTGCCACTGAGCTACATCCTCGGCTCTGCTGGGGAGATTTCAGCCAGGGTGAATGAACTGGCAGTGTCTTACACTGCTGCTTGGTTTCTGACCACCAATCAGGGGCTGTCGTCACGCAGGACTGCCGCTGTAAGCTCACCGTGCTGATACTTTGGGACACACACGCTCGTACAATCAAGAGTTCTGAGCCCGATGACTTGCGGCGTACTGAGTTTGGGTCTGCTGCGCTTCATTAACAGGATGACTGTGTCTACAGAAAGACTCAGAGGGAAGGCAAGCATGCATATTCCTGTAAATGTGCATTTTTCTCCTACAGCTAAGATCATTGTGTCCGTGTTAGCTTTCTTGTTCCACTTACCACGCCTTGAGCATTTTCCAGCGCCACTGAAGCATCATTTCTCATGGCTGCCTAAAGAAAGCTTCATGACATGAACGTACTGTGTACACAGCCCGTAGGTCAGTGGTTTTCTAGCGTTCTTCTAATTCTCTTTCAGCCGCAAGACACAGGGACCGACCAACACCAGGATCCCATTGGGTCCTCAAAGCACAGCAGCCTCGCAAAGACTTCACGGTCCTCTACCCCAGTGCTTTCAATACACCGTCAGGTCACGTATCTTGGGGTCCCATCAGGAACATTCTCAGTGCGTACATTCCCACATTGCAAGCACACATTTTTGCCTGCTGCAAAGTTCTACACTGAGGGAGAAATAATGATTTGTCTCCTTTTTCTTTTGGTTTATGTCTGGGATGATTTCCCTTTTCCTAGCACTGTCTTGAATACTCTCTCCTTAGCTTTCAGTTGACTTTTCTAGTCTCAGGAGCTCCATGGATTTTTTTTTTCAGTGACTCTAGCCCTCATTAATATCTCCCTCCAGGCGCCCGTTGGCACCTTCAGTTTAGTAGCTTACTGCCAACCATTTTGCCTTATTCTTTCTTAAAAACTTTGGCTGATAAGTGCATGAAGAATAGAAACTCATCTTAAAATTTATTCCACTTAAAATTCCTTCCACTATTATGGAGAGAATGAAACACATTAAAGATGTCATCCAATCAATTCTAGCTGAAGGGGATAGAGTTGGAATGTCAACCAATGCGCTGCCTAAAACACTAACAAAAGCTTTTATTTTTTGAGTAACAACAACAAAACACTTGGCTTGCATTCAATATCTCCAGTAAGAATTTACATGATGTCAGTTTATGATGATCTGGATTGGGTAAGGTAGACAAAAGAGCGCTACTTACTCAGAATCCGAGCAAATCCGAAGTCACAGATCTTGATTATTCCTTGCTTAGTTATTAGAATGTTTTCAGGTTTTACATCTCTGTGAATACACTGTAAGATAATGTTTATGTTCCTGAGACATCAAAATGACAGCTAATTTAACTTACTAGTTTAAATGATAGCTTATGATAGAAAAGCAGGTTTTCTTCATTTTTCTAGAAGTTAAATTGAGACTTATACATCTTATATACAAAAGAAAAAAATCTCTAAATATTACATTGTTGAAGAGATTAAAATTGTTATATATGAAAATTGTTTGATTTTTCAGAGCAAGGAGTATGACACAGGTATTTTTTTTTTCCAATGGTAAAACTCTGTGTGAGGGCCAAGAAGATAACTCTGAGGTCTAAGTGCCTGCCTGGCAAGTGCAAGAACTTGAGTTCAATTCCTGGTACTGCCTGCCATGCTGGCCTGAAACGGCATGGTGGTGCATGCCTGTAATCCCAGCACTGGGGAGGCTGAGACAGGAAAAAACAAAACAAAATAAAAACAAAACAAAACAAAAAAGCACTGAGTGAAAGTAGACTTTCTCTCTCTCTCTCTCTCTCTCTCTCTCTCTCTCTCTCTCTCTCTCCTCTCTCTCTCTCTCTCTCCCGCTTTTTTTTTTTTTTGGGCAGAACCAGGGATTGAACTCAGGCCCTTGCCCTTGCCAGTCAAGCACTTATTGTACTAAGCCATCTCCCCAGCCCCTTTTCTGTATCTCTAATACGAGCTGCCACCACTCAAACATCATAGTTCAGGCTGAATACTGCAGAGATGAGAAATTAGAAAAAAAATTTAAATGATAAGAGACACCCAAATTTACTTTTCATTAGGGTGACCATGTTAGTTACCCAAATCAGGACATTTTCAGGTGTAAAAGGGGCTCTGTTAATAACGATGGCAGAAGACAGGAACAACCCAGGAGAGTCTTGGGCATGCTGGGTGCAGTCCTCAGATCCGTATCTTTCCACTTGGCCTGCCACCCACCTCCAAAAGAAAGTGGGTGAAGAAGCTACTGGTCTTCCTCGAACTTGGCACTCGCAGAGTACACTGGAATTTTCCCAGCAGAATGATGCTGTGACTTCAGGGGTTCTCCGAGAGTCTACAGACTTCAGGGTCCCAATAACCCTCTGTCACCTCTCTGCCACACTGCTAGTCTCTAGATATTTTTTGTCAAACTGACAACTCTGAAATCGTTTCTTTGGTTCTACAGTAGCCATCTAATAAGGGAAAAGGCTAAACCCTTAATTCACTTTAAATTAAAAAAAAATGGCTCAGAACAAAATCTAGTTCCTCATCTCAATTATTGTCAACTGTTGCATAATTTGTTGATGAGCAGTTAAAAGAAAGTTTTTAGGCCTTGTAAAGGTCCTAAGGCATTAAGTATTAGTTTTAAAACACATCATTGGACTACAATACAAAATCATTTTGGTATTTACTTTGATCAGATGCTTATGAAACTCAGATTTTTTTTTATTTTTTTAAAATTTTATTTATTTATTTTACAAAATCTCAAAACAAGATTTTAGGAGAGT